GCATGTGAAGCAGAGGGGCCAGGTGGGTCTTGGTCAGCCAGCTGGGCCAAGCTGCTTACACTGTGACTCTCCCAGCCAATGTCTGCCAGTTTCTTTCTTATACCTGCAGTCTCTTCTAGGTGCTTCCATGAGCTGATGAGGGAGGGAGGACCTGGGAGGGGTGGGGAGAGGTTCTGTGTTTGTCCCAGTGTTACAGCCACTGCCCAGCCATCCCCCTCTACCATTCTGTTGCTATCTGAGTTTGTCATCACCATCTGGTTAACATGGCAAATAGCCCCTTGCTCAAGACAGAGAATCAAGAATACTGATTTCATTGATTCTCCCAACCCATGGTATTTTGAGATTATGAGCTAGAAAAATAATGTTAAACATATTTTGACAGCTGGTGTGATTGGGGTACTTTCTGAGGATCCAGTGAATACCACCTTCCCGTTGGCAGAACTGAGCCTATGTGAGGCCTGGCCTTTAGGGAACACCATGCAGTGTATCCCATGTTGCTAGTAGCACTGGGGTAAATTCTAGTTCTATTAGATGTGGGGCTGGAATGGTAGAGGTGACTCTACTCGTTCCCATCTCAATTTTTCCAATGAGATACCTCTCACAATTTTCACGGCCTCAAACACCCTTTCTCTGGGGCACGTGATGTGTGAATGATCTGAATAGTTCTGAGTGCTTCTGGTTTCTCTTTGTTGGCTGTGGCCAAGCCCAAAATTAAATCAACTTTTCCCTTCCCCTAAGCCCTAGGCTCTAAGCTTAGACTGCCAAGTTCTGTTGCTTGATGATCCAGTAATCTGTGGCTTGGAGAAACTCCAGAGGAATAATGTTGGAAGGACAGAATGTTGTTCCAAACACCAGATTCTCTGCTCGAAGATGCATTCATGAAGTTCTCCATTATTCGTCCAGAAAATTATAGTGGAGAGGAAATTAGATGGTGAAGACTCCGAAAAGGGAAAATAGAACAGGATACTTTATGGAAACATGCCTTCTCTTCTCACTGTTGTTAAGTCTAGGGACATCATGTTGTCTACTGAGTTATTGATATCCTCCTTGGACTCAAGTCTTGGCTCCACTGCTTACTAGCTGTATAACTTGGGGCAGATTATTTAATGTCTCTTCAGCAACCTCATTGCAAAATGATAACTATCTTTTAAAAAAAATTTTTTTTAAGCTAGCTAATTCCTTTTTCCTCTAGAGCACCTTCTTTGAATCCCACATAAACTATATTGCCCTTGTGTCCCATAACCACATGCATTGTTAGCTACCCTTGGGTCAGGCCCATACTCATGGCAACCTCACACACAATGGCACTAGACTGTTGTGATGCATAGGATTTCATTGCCTTGATTTTTCTCGGAAGTAGGTCACCAGACCTTTATTTTCTTAGTCTTTCTTAGTCTGGAAGCACCACTGAAACCTATTCAGCTTCATGGTAATACATATAAGCCTCCACTGACAGATGAGTGGTGACTGCATTTGCATTGGCCGGGAATTGAACCTGGGTCTCTTGCCTGGAAGGTGAGAATTCTACCACTTTACTACCACTGCCCTCACCACATGCATATGTCAGTCATAATACTTGATAGGTTACTGAAATGATTCCACTACATGGTATGATGAGCTGAGCTTTTAGGTCTTTAAAAGCAGAGAATGTTTTAATCTGCTTTGTTTCCCAAGTTCTAGTAGAATTCCTGGCAAACAGCATATATGCTTTAGGGCAAGGTGATAGCTAGTACGTGGAGAAGAAAGGATAGAACTTTCCCCATTTTATGGCCCCCAGTATAGTAACTGACCCAGGAAAGGATCGGCAGTGGATACTCACAGCACTCTGGACGAGAGAGAGGATACAAGGAGCAGCTTGTGCACCTGGTTCCTGAGTACCACTCTATAGATTGCATATTAATTGGAAAGGGGAAAATGAGCCTTTACAGTGAAGTAGTGGGACAGGCATCATCAGGAATAAGGCAGCCTGACTGTATGCCTCCTTGTGTGATGACAGGGAGGGACACAGTGTCACCTGGGAGGTGTTCTTGTTAAGTACAAAATGTTGAACATGAATCTTAATAATGAGGGCACAGACAAATCCAAACTAACAACAGATAATCACATCTTGAGTGTTTTCGTACGTGAATGTGTTTGTTCACTCTACCCTGAAGTTGCTTGCATCCAGATGGATGAGTGTTAGTTGTTAGTTTTCTTTTTCTTCGCTATTTTTCTTCTAAAAGAAATACTGGTTTCTCCATCATATTTATGGAGTTCCTAAAAAGCTTTTACATAAGTGGTTACCTTGGATTTATTTTCCTTTCTCATCTGCTGTCTCCTTAAATGTGCTGTCAAAAATATATGATGAGAAGGAAAGAATCAAATGTATTGGAGTCGAGGGTTCTTAGCCTTCTCATCTTCATTATGTTGGGTCTGTGGGTTTTGATGAGAAGAAAGGGAGGACAGGAAAACTGATGCTTGGAAATGATTCACTCGCACAGCTAGGGCCTGAATTCTTAGAGAGCACAGGAGGGCCTGGGCATGTAAGTTTGGAGAATGTTGAGTCTACTTGCTTTACTCTCTTCCTCTTTCTTGTCATTACCTATAGTTCACGCATTTCCTAATCTTCCAGATGTCTTAGTCCAGGATCATAGCTTATGCTTTTGGAGCTGTGAGCTCAGTGTTGAAGAATAGACAGAGATGTTTAAGATGCCTCTACCAAGGTGGCTAAGACTAAGATGGGCAAGCATGTACATAGGGCCCGTGTGAATCCATGGTTTCATGGTCAGACCCTATCCTTCTATATGTACCCAAATTTGTAAATGAATATGCCACCATCTTACTTTTCAGGGAAGAACTTCTAGTAGATTTGAGAGATGTTGTTTGGTGAAAGATCTTGTTATGGCCGTATTTTCTTGGTAAAAGCACTAAGATTTGATCCTGTGAATACCTGAATCTATATACAGTTCTTTCTAATGCCACTCTAAAGATGTTGAAAACACTACACAACAAAGGTACTGGATTTCCAGAATATTTTCTCTACAATTTGTCAGGCCATAAAATTTGTTACGTTGATATTCCCATGCCTTTCTTTAATCCTTCATCATGGAAGTTCTAGGCTTTATCTGATAGGAGACAATCCATCACCCAACACCCAGCACTGGGTTGGTGTGGTTCTGCACGCCAAAACTCAGTGTTACCTCTTAGGGTTTAGAATGTCACAGGAACCAGCTACCTGCCCTGACCAGGATACAAGGCCATTCATGACCTGGTTTTCTACCTTTTCTCTGCCACTGTCCACTCCTGCTTGAAGATCTAGTAAGGCCAAACTACTGTTTCATGTCACAGAGCCTTAGCTCATGCTGTTCCTGCTGCCTGGAAGGAACTCTGTTCCTATCTTTCTTTGTCAAGTAACTATTTTGTGCAATCCAGAGTAAATGGATATGACATATCTACCAAAAATAAGCAAAATTTTATATTGTGTTATCAAGGAGGAATGGTGGTGAAAATGTTACTAGATAGCAGATTTATCACTTGACTCATATTTATTGATACTACCCATAAACTTGGCTTAAGTAAAAAAGAAGAAGATAACTCATACATTTGGGCATAAAGTTATCACACTCAGACATGTGCACATATGTATATAATTTTATTTAATATCCATAGTAACCCTGGGAAGTGGGTATTATCCTTATTCATGGCTCAGGCAGTGATCTCTAAGTAGTTATGTGATATTTCTAATATCCTTCAACTGGTCAGTAGAACCTGGCATCTACTGGCATCTAGCCAGAGTTTGTCTGATTCTAAATCCATGTGCTACATACACCATATTATACAGTAAAGAATAAATGATATTCCTCCCTTGACCAAATTTGGGACAATAAATAAAATCAAAAAGAAC